ATTCACTAACAACTGAAAACATTGATTTATTCACTAGTGGTTCATAGATTCATTCACACCTGATTCGCCAACAACTGGATGCACTGAATTCATTCACATCTGATTCACAGATTCATTCACAGCTGATTCAATAACAACTGAAAACACTGATTTATTCACATCTGATTCACAGATTCATTCACAGCTGATTCACTAACATCTGAAAGCACTGATTCATTCGCAGCTGATTCACTGGTTGATATACAGCTGAATCTTTTAAACACAAGATGAAAAGTGTAGGATGTTTTTCTGCTGATGTTTTGAGCTCATGATTGACAAATATTTTGGATAAATATTTTGATAGTTTTCCGAGATGAAGGTTTGTCTTTAACGTTGAGAGAACGTTCTCTGTGCGCCAGAGTGTTCAGCAGATTTCTTCAGCAGTATTAATGTGTTCAGATGATTCTGCGTATGAATGACTCTGCTGTATCCCCTGTGATTCTCAAGAGGGTGAGACACACACACACACACACTCTTAATTAAAGCTGAAATATTATCAGCCGCTCATGACATTTCATCTGTACGTATGAAATCTTTCTCTGTGTATTGACATTTGCCAGCACTTCTGGTGTCTGACATTTAGGATAATCTCAATTAATCTGAGCTGCCCATTAAGATAATCAGATTAAAGTCAAACTGGGACACACACACACACACACACACTGAGTTTTAATTATATTTAATTTTTTATGTTTTTAACAGAATGAGTAAAAACAAAACAAATTATTATTGTAATTTTATATTTTAAAAGTTCCTTCATTCATTTTCCTTCGACTTAGACTCTTTAATAATCAGAGGTCACCACAGCGGAATGAACCACCAACTATTTCAGCATATGTTTTATGCAGCGGACGCCCTTCCAGCTGCAACCTATCACTGGGAAACACCCATACACACTCATTCACACACACACTCATACACAAGGGCTAATTTAGTGTGTGAATGAATACATTTCCCAATGAATACAGACAATATTTTGTTACATTTAAGCATTAAACAGTTTTTAATCAGTTATATTCAATAAAATAAGAGTTTGCTCACCACATCTTTAGGAATACAAAAATAATACACTTAATTTCCGTTTTAAATGTTTTTTATTCCTACATAAATTACAAACTACAAAATGTCTACAGATTTAAAAAACTGAATGATATATTTTTTATGTTCCTCTTGATTTTTCCTGTTTATTAAACCTATAACCTTCTGGTTCTTGAATCTGATTGGCTGATAGCCGTGCGATTTTCTGCCAGTAACAGCGCTCGTCCAGCCTCTTGACCCTTCACCCTTGTGTATTACTCCGCCAACATACAACAACAAGCAGGGGACAAATATAGCTGCTTGTCGGCAACATAATGTACTTTTAAGGCTTTATAGTGGATAATGTAGTTGTTTTAATTGCAACTATGCAGTTTATTTATAAGGATAGTGCCTATTTAAGATATTTATAACTTCCGAGAGGCACCGCGTCGGCGGCCATTATCCTGTCTTTGAGCAAAAACGGTGGACGATGTTCATCCACAAGATGGCGACAAACACCGCATAATAAGCCTTAAGAGAAAACCAGCGTGATTTCAAACTACAGCTGAACAACTTGTTATTAAACAGGTAAATGACTTTCTAAGTCAATCTCTCTATTTTATATGTGGTGGTGCAGTATTTATACCATAGTCATATTGTGATCTCAAGATTGCAATAGAGACGGCTTCCGCTGTTCTGACGTCAGCTGCAGATGTGAATAAATGGTGGAAGAAAGTAGTTCCTCATACTGAATGGTTTTAGACTCTCTGTGATTGATTTTCTTTTCTATACACATGATTATGACTGTTGTATAAACGCAATATCACACTCATACCAGTGCGATGTGGCTGTATATCGTCACTGGTGGCCTCCGATATACAGCTACATCGCTCTGCTACTTGTGTGATATTGCTCATATATACTATTGTTTTCCCAACATATTAATGTTTACACTGTGATCTTAAGTGTATGTGTTATTTAGTTAATCAGGATTGCCTTTGGTACTGGCTATCTTAATGCATATACACAAATATATTACTGTAAAGCATCAACACTGATGTTAAAGAGAGATCTGGTGAACTAATTTATGCTGAACACTATATTAATGCATATTAAAAGTGACAAATATGTAGTGCAGTCATTTGTTGCATGCTCAGGATGTGTTTAGTTCAGCCTGGAGAAGAAAACTAAGAGCTAAAACAGTCCGAATGAGTCTGTGCATGAATTTTTAATTGCATTTATCTGAGCCGGATGAAGGATATGAGCGTATAATAATCCTGTGTGTGTGTGTGTGTGTGTGTGTTCAGTTTGTTGGCTTCATTTAGACTGAGTCTGAGCTTAAATCTATATCATCTTCTGCCTCTCGCTTCAACAATAATGTGCTGAGAAATTACATATGAGGACGA